AATAGCTACTCATTGATTCCTAGATTCCAACAGTTACTCATTCGATGGTTGCTAACTGGTGGAACAGTCGTTAGAAGTACATACGTCTTACCGGAAATATATTTTTAGAAATAGTTTTAGCACCAAATGACAAATAAGTAATTTGCTCTCACCATCTGTTTAAATAATTTAAATCTATCTTACCCACATCCCCGAATACTTGTACTCGAATACAAGCAAGATAAGAGCACAGAGGATTGATGGAAGTGATGAGTTATTGGTTCCAAAATATACATGACAACACTAGTCGAAAGTACAATCACGTATGCATTGGTTGTGCACCTGTTTTGTTCACTATTTAGCATAAAGCCACATAAATAGTTACGTAGAATTATAACAAACAACATGCTTTATGTGATGCTGAGCATAGTTTACGTTAACTTATTATAAGAATTTTGGAAATCTGTGTTACATTTCTGAAAAAACACATTTGTCAATAATTGCTTAATTTCTTTGCAAAATAAATTTCGTTATAGTATTGTCTGCCAGCTGCTGTGATGGTTTGTATTTTTAAATTTGATTCAGTTAAGTTTACAACCTATGTGTGGGACATGTTTTAATAATTTTATGCCTATAATTCAAAAGTTTTGTTTTACCACTAACCGCCTCTATCAGATTATTTCTTTAAAGTTCTACTGTGCTCGATATCTCGTCTGGAATCTGAGACAACTGAAGAAATTGTGGGTTTGGTCAATATCTGACCTACTGAAGGAGATAGTGGTGAAAATGAAATCTTAATTTCTAATATGAGTTGAGTCAATGTTGTGCTAAAACACTTCATATGTTCTGATAACTACTGACTATTATTGTATTGCAGTGGTAAATAAATCCGAAAAACAAATAGTTTTGTAAGTCCTCAACAGTGAAGCCGAACTTATTAGCTGATGCTTTCGACTGGAAGAAAAAGCTTGCCATCTTTTTGATTGTGAATATTCAGGAAACCTTCCTACGCTAGATTTTGCCAATGTGTGGTCTCTGTTCCTTTCACATTCTATAATTCATAACAAACAGCAGTTGGAAAAGCCAGATACAGTTGACTATTGTGCAAATATTTGTATCATTTGACCTGTCTGTATTCATAGCATTACGTGCCAAGTAAATCCTTTAGTTTTAATCATGCACTAAGGTGTAAATTAACTCCGTTTGTAGCTCTTCTAGAGTTACTGCCTGTCCCAAGCCCGAGTAAATGAGGGGGGTTGGGCATGTGGTTAGCGTCCCCATCCCGTAGAAAAACAACTCGCTAAAAGACGCTAACCAGAAAAAGTTATTCAAACCATTTTAACTCTGCCCTTGGAGTTAGAAGGTCGTCATTTAGAAGAAATATGATGCCTCATGGTGAAAGCCGACTTCCTTCGGAAGCCCCTTCTAACAACCAGAGCAACAATTTTTATAGGTACATGGAACGTACGGACAATGTGGGAGACCGGGAAGACCAGTCAAGTAGCAACGGAAATGAGGAGATACAACTTGGAAGAACTGGGAATCAGCTAAACCCATTGTACCGAAGCTGGACAACAAAGGCTAAATACGGGAGAGATGCTGCTATACTCCAGTCACGAAGAGGAACATGATACACACAACCCGGGGAGTTGCTCTAATGCTGTCCAAAGTAGAGCGAAACGCACTTGTAGGATGGGAATCTCACGGATCCAGAATCATCAAAGCGTCACTCAAAACAAAGGAGGTGATCACAATGAATATTATCCAATGTTATACGCCCACCAATGATCACAACGACGACATTAAAGATCAATTCTACGAGCTGCTGCAGTCAATCATAGAGAAGTGTACAAGAAAGGACCTCACCATTCTGATGGGAGATCTAAACGCCAAAGTTGGAATAGACAACACTGGATATGAAGATATTATGGGACAACATGGACTGGGAGGGAAAAACGAAAATAGAGAAAGATTTGAAAATTTGTGTGCATTCAACAAATTAGTTATAGGAGGCACAATATTTCCACACAAGCGTATACACAAGGCTACATGGATCTCACCGGACCACACTACAGAGAACCAGATAGACCATATTTGCATCAACAAAAAATTCCGAAGGACAATGGAAGATGTGAGAACAAGGAGAGGTGCTGACGTAGCTTCAGATTACCACCTAGTTGTAGCCAATTTAAAACTGAAGCTAAAGAAGAACTGGACAACTTGACAAACAGCACTACAAAGGTTCAATACAGCCTTCCTTCGAGATACTGACAGATTCAATGAATTCAAGATAGCTCTCAACAACAGGTTCCAAGCCTTACAAGATCTACTGAAGGACGAAGAAACTACTATGGAAGACAGCTAGAAAGGTATCAAAGAAGCAATAACTTCAACGTGTCAAGAGGTTCTGGGCCTCAAGAAGCATCATCATACGGAATGGATCTCTATAGAGACACTGGACAGGATCAAAGAAAGGAAGAACAAGAAGACAGCAATTAACAACAGGCGAACACGAGCAGAAAAAGTCCGAGCACAAAGTGAGTACATAGAAGCAAACAAGCAAGTGAAGAAAAGCATTGAAGCTGACAAGCAGAAATACGTGGAAGAACTAGCAAAGACGGCGGAAAAAGTTGCAAGAGAAGGAAATATGAAACAGCTTTACGATACAACAAAGAAACTAGCAGGGAAATATAGTAAACCAGAGAGAACGGTCAACGACAAAGAAGGCAGGCCAATCACTGAAATTCAACAACAGCGGAAAAGATGGGTAGAGTACTTCGAGAAACGTCTGAATAGACCGGCTCCAATGATTCCACCGGACATCGAAGCAGCACACACAGATCTTCCTATAGATGTTAATCCACCAACGAAGGAAGAAATCAGAGTGACCATAAGACAAATCAAGAGCGAGAAAGCAGCAGAACCCGACAATATACCAGCTGAAGCACAGAAGTCAGACATCGAAGTAACTACAAATATGTTTCACCTTCTATTCAAAAAGATTTGGGAGGAGGAACAAGTGCCGATGGACTGGAGAGAAGGACACCTCATTAACTGAATCACACTGGCTGCATGTAAAATATGTTTCAAGCCGCTATCACGTTAGCTGTGCAAGTCATGCTGTTCTACAAAGCCTCTTCCGATTCTCAAGGCTACTGAGTTACTAGGCACAGTCAAAAAAAGTCATCAGTTAAAAAACCAGCATCAGGTGAGTAGCTATCAGATATCGAAAAAGCAGAGAGCGCCATCATGAATCCAGCTTTAGATTTGAATGGAAATATCAATATAGAGCCCCATAACGTAGTGGATGATAAATGCATGGTTATAAGGGAACAGAAAATACATGCAAAGAGAAAAACGAATTACAGACAGCACTGAACTATATAATTTGATGGTTTCGACTGCAAACAGACTATGTGGAAGCAAAGCCATAGAGTTGTAGATGATTTAGTCAAGAAACGAAATAAAGTCAAATATTAGACTAAAGTAGCACTTAAAAAGTTGAGAAAATAGAGTAAAACTTGAATGTCTGACATCAAATCCGACTGTATGGATGAGAAAGGTTTAGGAAGCTAAACCTCATAGCTTGTCAAAATGGATTTCACTCAGAGGTTTGTCATTTTTCATAAGCTAAAACAGTCATCCGGAGAGGAACCAAAGGGTAGATTTGAACACGATCTAAGCTGCAACAAGTCCTTTATAGGTAAGCTACTTCCAGAAAACTAAGCAGGAGTTGTCATTCATAAGCTTTATAGAATAGAAACAAAATCAGGTTACGAATATACACAGACAAGCTGTGTCTTAAAATCTACTTTTATTCCCACTAAATAAAGAGATACAACAGTAGAAAATTCACACAAACTGACGGGATCCGGAACATATGTAGTGAGGACCTCAGTTTGAGTGATCATATTGAGGAACGATCAGCAGAGGAGGAAATAAATGAGCTCAGTAGCACAATGATCGGAAAACCAAACATGGCGGTACGGAACGAGTTTTCACAGAATTAAAGGTATACTACACAAACGCTTGCAGCCTGCTAGCTAAAGTGCTGGAGCCTCAAAACTTGGTGGATGCGGAAAACTCTGGCGTCATTGCCACCTCAGAATCTTCGGAAGTGCATGATAGTGACATGCTTGACTCTTTACTTTGTAGGGATGGCAGACTAAACCACGGGAGTGGCAAGGTTATCGTGTACGTGAAAAGAGCCTGACTATACGAGCTTTCGATACATTGTCATACGACTTATCGACATATGAACTGAAACGCTGCCGGCTGAAATGTGAGGGTCAAGAAATCGAACATGTAGTATGACGCAATCCAGAATATGCAGTGGATGGCCTCATTCTAATTAAACTTCAATCCTGGTCAAATAAGTGTAAAAGCCTTTTAGCAAGTGACTTTAACTGAGATACAAAAGTAAGTACAACATTGGGGGGTGAGTCTTTACCTGTAGACAGGTATAGGAAGGATCTTGGAGTGAAATTGATTTATAATCCTGAAAATACGGCTGATCGCAGCGAAGTCGCAACTAAGGAGTAAAGAACCTCGTTTAAAAGGTGATTCGGACATCGTGGAATGAGTACAGCTACGCGTGTGACTTCAGAACTCCGGAGCTTACCATATAAATCGCGGCTTGATAAGCCAGACCTCATTACTCTGTTCTACGCAGATTAAGAGGTGATCCGACTTTAATATAAAGGATACTAAGAAATAATTTTTGACCTGACATATTTGCTCCTTTTCTTCCTACTTGACTATAACAGCTAAGAAGACACAACAGGCGAGTAAAAAAGCCAAGAATGAACAAAATACTCGTATCATAATGGTTTCCACAATGGTTCATCAATTCTTGGAACCTGTTATCCAGAGAATTGGTGTTTCGTCTTCCGTTAACTCGTTCATGAGAAGAGTAGACACTCTCAGAAGCTTACTAGGAAAGCATTAAGACAGGCCGCAGACCTTCTGTCCTAAGTACACAAATCTAAATCTGAATGTGGATTCATGGTAATCAGTATGTTGAATGAACGCAATCTTATATTCATTTTGAAACTCGGTTTAACTGAGTATATGACTGTCTAGTTCCATTGATTACCTTTTGCTCAGTTATGTGACCAATTCAAACGTGTTACGCGTGAATGCATCCAATATTACTTTGTTTAGCTGTCTGTTTATCTACCTCTCTGCCGATCATATTTAATTATTATATTGACCTTTACATACTTCGGACACGCTGAATATCTTGAGCTAAAAGGAATCCTTTGTGATTCATTACTATCACACACGGTAGCTCGTTAAGAAGAAGCTTTCTTTATCCCATTTGAACACTTTTAAAGGAGAACCTGGATCATCATAGAAATACTTAATCCAAGAATTGAAACGGATCACATCACCTATCGTGTTGATTACTGAAGCATGAATATAGCTGTTATCGGTTTCATCAAGCCCGTTGCTTTTAGTTCTTACGACGTAGTTGGCGCAACCTATAAATGTTTTGACTTTCTGGGTGCTCTCTCCTTGTCTGTTGCGTTATCGCGCAGTTTCCATCTGATAATTCTAAGTAAGTGATCAATGTGTTATCGTATCACTTCTCACTATCAAGGTCAAGAAAAAATATTAAGCTCTTAATATTACAGCTAATCAATAGTCTATCTCCTATATGGAATACGGTCTCATCCAATTTGACTACTACCTATTCAATGGAAGGCTTTAATAAATGGCTATGTACTCACGTATTTAAGCGTTAACTATCCTTGCCCGAAATGTATGTTGAATACATACTCAAAGTGAGACGTTCCCGTACTAGTTAGTTTTACCTTCACCAACCAACAAGGTAGCTTGACACCTGCAGGTTTTAGGAACTCTACAGCTGTGATGTAGATGCACTTGTTCCTACTAAAACTATACCAATCTCCAAATAACTATTGAATTAATTTAATCTAGTACAGCAGAGTGGTTGGGCTATTGTCACTAGACTCCTCATGACCTAAAACTGTCTTTTGGGATAAACAGACGAACTCAAAAATACCAATTCGTTTGTACTACCTCGTTAGAACGGAGTTTAATGAGTCAAATATCGAGGTTTTAATTTGATCGCTTAGGATCTCTCGTGAATAGGATCTAATTGCTGATTTCTTTTGTGCTCATCTTTTGTTACTAAATGGCGACTTCATAATTTGTGTCGCTACGCTGAGGGTAGTTCATTGTGTTGGTGAACGAACTCACTGGTTGTCTTGTCCGTTTAGTCTGTTATCCATTTGGACTAAAATAGTTCATGATTATGTGGATGATTGTTCGGTTTCTCATTGAAAATGGTTGTTAATATAACTGTGAGTATCACCAGCCAGAGTATCCCTTTGTGTAATAATAAAGACGTTTTTAGCTAATTTACTGCTCCTTTATCAAGAATTTTTTTTACTGTTAGAGTTCTGTCTTCTTCCCCACTTTCTTTATAGTAAATTATGTAAAAGTTTGTCTTGAAAAAAATAATTGGTGGTATACTCTACAGTAGTTGTGAGTAAATATCAAATTTATATTATTATAAACATTCTAGCCTTTAGGCAAATGAATATTATGGATCACCAAAAACGTTTAAAAGTTTTTAGTGACCACTGTGTAAGCAGGTAGATCTTAGGTCATCAATAAGACTAGTCCTTACATCACTGTGAGTTTTCATGGTAACTCAGCAATATTGATAGCATGACTGTTCCGACTCAAATAATTCAAAGTAATCACTAGACTCATTGTCACACCTTTTGGCACGGGACAGACTGAACTATCCGGTTATTTCACTTGCTCTGTTTCGAAGCTCATGAGCTTCCTCGCTTTTGTATAAACTTTCGTATCTCAAAGTTTCTATTTATATCGAAATTTGTGACGTCCTGAGGGTGGATAATTCACTAGTGTATAACTGACATAAAGTTCTTATTGGGAATTTTTCTCGAGAAACTTGGCTTAACTGTTGTCTATAAATGCGGGGTTGTTGGTACAAAATATTGGCACAAATATAAATATATAACTGCGGTTATGAAAAGTAAAACTCAACTGGAACTCAACAGCATTAATCAAAGTTACTGATTATTGATGTGAAACATGTCAAAGATTGTACGCCTTGTGACTGGAGTCCTTTAGGTGTTAAAAACTAATGATTAGTAGATCTAGGTAACATATCTATGTATCTATCGCTGAAATGTGACTTTTTCGTTCTTTTGTCTACTGTGACCTTTCGACATGTTACCCTATTTATCCGATTGTTGTTCATAATACTTAGGTTATTTTCCTCTTGACTAGTGAGTTGCATGTTATTTTTTAGTGTATGACACATCAAAGATATAATGCAAACGAATCTCTATTACCAAGACCAACTTTTGGTGATTACATCTTGACAAAAAGTCACAGTTATTTGAGTTTTGAATGCATCATACAATATTTTCTTTTATCTTTACCTATTTCTCTTTATCTAGTGGGTTAGTGATAATTTGTTTAGTTTACTATGTTTCTTGTAGATGTTGCTAAAACTGTAATATCATGCCGATAATGATGAATTTGAATGCTAAACTTATTAACTAAAACTAATTAATTTCATCCTAATTCTGAGACATTCGTTGGATTTATAAATTTATATTAGTAAATATTTTGTATATTTTTTTATTTTAATGAATTATGTACGTCCTTGTATATATGTGTACGTACGTCTATTTAACATTCTTGTTTTACTTTTACATTTAAGTTTCATATTCTAACTAATATGTTATTTTATGCTTACCTGGTTTGTGCGCTTCATATAGAATAACCTTTCGTTGGAATTAAAGGAATACTTATTCTTAATAATTCTCACAAGAAATGGGATCTCACTTTGGTGTAGTACAACCAATTTTCACGGGTAAGATGCTCTGTTATCAGTCTAATTATATAAATATCAATCTTTAGTTTGCTCTCAGTTGGTGATTGTTTCCAATGTTTTTTTATTTTGACAGTATAAGTTAATGTGGAAAAAAATACACAAAAACATCAAATTGCTGTCACTAACAAATTGTTTGTATCTTCACCCAACTCTAAATAGATTCTAACAGAAGTCGGGATTATTTAAGTATTCTGTCATATCCTATGTTTTTAGAGGGTCAACACGTTCAACTCTAAGTGCACGAAATTTGTTTTTACTGACAAATACAACAGTTTTGATTAGTGCAAAAAGTGACCAGTTAACTTTTCGTCAGTACTAATGACTAATAATTAGTTTGACTTTAAAACGTTCGCCAACTAAGTTAGGTCAGAGAATAAATTAGTTTCAGGGTTTTCACTTTAGTCTAAAAGAACGTGTGACCATTTTATTATTACATATTTAAAAGTTCCTCAGTTTTGATAATCTTAAATGTTCTTAATATCAAAACGTGGCACTAGTTCATAAATTCATTAACTGTTGGTTTAAACTATTTTGATATATCCAGACTACCTTGTTGAGGTCCGCAACTAGTGGTTGAAGATTTGGGGTGAGGGTTCAAAATCGTTCGCAATGAAGCCCTGGTACGGTCGAGTGTGGGGAGAGTCAGACCCTTCCCTTCGAAATTCACGTGGACACTCGTATACAACCACTGCCAAGGAAGTCCCGCTTACTGCCTTCTCATGGCGAGGATATTGTTTACGAACTTGAGAGGGACGAAAAGCGAATGTCCAGCGCTCTAACCGGGTTGCTGGATACGGAGATTCCACCTAGGGGAGTCGGAAAACCCTGATTCCAAACCAATGGTGCACAAAGGCCCCAGGATCCTGAGGAAACAAATGGTGTATGAACCTATTGTTGGTCACCAGCCACCATGGGACTGCATCGTCTAGCGTTGTTCCACTGCCTTGTGGATTGGACCTCTAGGTCAAAAGCTCGGGGATTGGCTCTAAGAAAACCACTTGCCTCGATTTGGGCACCTTGACAGTATTCTATCTCCCACACATTGAATGATTTGTGTGCCTTGTACCAATGTTTGTGTTTAAATAAATAAGTGAATTCACTTATCACTCTCTTGCAGTATTCCTTCATCCATACCCTTTCATTTTACCTTTTACACCATATTCCCAAGATTTAGTTTGTTTTCTGTTCTAAATTGTGTATTTTCTCCTTTCAGATTTCTATGAATTGACAATGTCGTATGCCTATTGGAAAGCTGGAAAAGCCAATGATACTGCAACTTTTGAAATGTTTTTTCGTAAAAATCCTTTCAATGGGGAGTTCACTATATTTGCTGGTCTTCAGGATTGTATTGAGTATTTAAGTTCGTTTAGATTCACTCGGGATGGTGAGTGAAACAGATGTGTCGATTAAAATTCTACACTTTATGTTATGTTATCTGGAATAAACGTGATTTGTGGGTTATTACATCTGTGCTTTTTTATGTGTTACATGTTCGGTATTAATACATAATTGACAAAAGTACTGTAATAGCTCAAAAATATACTAAAAATAATACATCAACCCCAAGTAAATTCAATAAACGAATATATATATATATATATATATATATATATATATATATATATATATATATATATATATATATATATAAGCATTGCTGAAAGGTTCCATACTAGAAAGAAACAGCTGTCCATTGCCTCACGGTTCTCATCGATTGTCTATCTTAGGTCAGTTCGATCAGTAAACTTTGAAATCCAACAATCTCCAAAGTCTCTTTATATTAACTATAGTAATATGTTGCATGTTGATTCATCATTTTTTTTCCTGAAATGTAGTACTAGTTTTTTTTACAATAAACTCTAAATCTTATCAATTTTTCTTTTATATTTCTAAATAACATTATTAGATGTTGAATATTTGCAAAAAATTATGCCATCAACTGTTGATCCCGATTTCTTTGATTATTTGCTTAGTATTGATACAAAGGGATTATTGTTATGGTCTGTTAAAGAATGTTCAGTTGTTTTTCCAAAAGTTCCTATTATGCGAATTGAAGGACCAGTAGTACTATGTCAACTTGTAGAATCTACATTATTGAATTTGGTTAATTATGCGAGGTAATTAATGTATGCGTATCTCTTTTTCACTATCATTTCATTGGAATTATTAATTTATATATCATATTTCAATTGTACATTCATGTACTCCACTTGAATATATATATATATATATATATATATATATATATACCTTGGCACTACCATGGTGCATAAACCAGTCAGACAGTCATAATGACTGTAGAGCCTGATATATATCTGGGTTTCCCCAAGTTTCCGTGCCACAGTAGCCCGGCAAGATGAACGGTATGAATAAAATCAAAGTGATATAGTAGTAGTAATAATTATAAAGATGGGACATTGAAAATATTGTTTCAAACGACAAAATGAAAGGATAATACTGGAACTGGAAATGTAAAGGAAAGTAAGGAGTAAATGTTTCTGCGCTAATATGACCGATTCTGAGCCGTGTCACTCAATGTGTGCAACCGTTGGTTACGATAGTTACACGAACCTCAAGCAGGTAGTTTGCATCTACCAATTTGGTCCTGTTCATTAATCACTGGCTCCATGAACTGATTCTACGTTCTGGTTTAGCTCCTAATTTTCTTACAACTTACTCATATACCAAAGCGAGGCAGAATTGTTTCATCCTACATATCAGCTATTGAATACTGAATACCTTGACCAATAAGCCACTGCTCAGTTTAATATACACGAACATTTAGTGTCTTGTCGATTTTAAGGAATATTTACGACTGGTTTGTAGTATGTGATATACTTTAGATGTTCAGAGGACTATATAACTCGTCACAGGTTTTTTATTGAGATTATAAACAGCGGTTGTTTAGTCGGGTTTATGTGTATGTGGATATTAATTTGATTCGACAACTACTTTTTTCAGTATGGGGTTGCGGAGATTGTTTAGCTTTTGATTGAGATCATGAATCGATGAATGTTAGACCGCCATCGAAAACCTGGAAGCACTGGACGGCCGTTGCGGCCATCTTTCATTGTCTGAGGTATATACCTGTCTTTACCTGACACGGATTAGTGCGCAAAACCGAAGGCCCTGGACTCAAATCCAGCGTGCGGGATCGTGGATACACACTGATGAGGAGCCCTATACTAGGACGAAACGGCCGTCCAACGCTTTCAGGTTTTCAATGGCGGTCTAACATTAATCGATTCATGATCTGAACCAAAAACGTTCTTTTTTTAAAATTAAAACTATTATCAACTGAAGAGCCATTGGAATTCATGTAGGACTGGGAACTTCGGTAATACTTATCCGTAACTATACACATAGCGTCTTTAAACTAATCACAGAAGCCAAGTTCGAATATTTAGCGCAACATAACTGTCGTGGACATGAATAGGTTTCATAGTTTGCATCAAGAACTGACCCTAGTCAAACAACAGTTCAAAACCAGGAGACTTTGGGCAGCTGTTTCGTCCAGAGACCAGAGTACCCATCAGTGAGCGATGGAGTTGAACCGTGTCGTATGTGATGTAACTACCTACAGGCGTATTGGAGGATGATTGCTCAATACGGCTAATTGGTGAAAGCTAGAGACGTTAACCATTGGAAACCGACTCAGGGGTCCGAATGTCAAACACTCACCGCGGGATCTGAAGGTCCTGGGTTGAGTCCCCTGTGGTGGGGTCGTGGGTACGTAGTATTGAGGAGTACCGTATCAGGACGAGACACATTCAGTGCTTCTTGGTCTTAGTAGTTGTCTTCCTATGGTCAGTCAGCGCTATAAACCATATAGCTCAACAATTTTTAGAAATCCTTTTAACTAATAAAAATGTATTTCTTGACTATTTAATTTTAAAGGTGCTGAAAATTAGGGTTTTTATTTTACATAAATGACTCTAGACGGGATAAATCGACGTAAAAATATTTTGAGAAGTCTTTTTTCTGTCGTCGATATTTGGATATCTCATATTTTGGTTAATTACGTTATTCATCAACGAAAATGAAATATGTTGGAGGCAAGCTTTTATCCATACTTCAGTAAGCTGCAATTTTGCGGCTTTTAAGTTCCAAGCTCCGATTTCAATACTATTTTGATTGCTAGTAGTAGTTTTTAAGTATTTTATCGATGTACACGCATATATTTTTATCTGTAGCCTAGTGACTACGAATGCTACACGTTACCGTCTGGCTTGTGGTCCAATTAAAAAATTATATGAATTTGGTTTACGTCGTGCTCAAGGACCAGATGGTGCACTCTCAGCTTCAAAGTATGCATATTTGGGAGGTATGATTATTGATTATTATTGTTAATACGTCATTGATATTATTGTTATTATTATTATATTCGTTCCACATATTCGAATTTTGAAGAGGGGTTCGATGTTATTAGTATTCATAGCGTTTCTATAGAATATAATTACTCATTGACCTGTAAATTATTTAGGACAATATTTAAGTAATGAAATATTACTCAACTCAGTAGCCAAGTAAACAGATTCATATGCCAGCATTTAAGTCATATTTGTTGTGTAAAGACAGGTTGTCCGAACGGAAGTAAGTTTTCGAAGTGTAACACTGCTCACTTTATTGCAGTGGTTAGGTTATTCTGACACGTTAACGATAGAATTTCATTCACATCGAGGGATAAACAAGATGACATCGGTTACCATAAATTGATCACTTATTTAAGACACATATGTGTTGATAATATGAATATTAGGCTATTCACGTGCATCTGTTATATCTTTAAGTTTCGCTAACCTCAAGTAGTGGTTGTAATGAATTAATTGGAACGCAAATAATAGATTAAGAACGATTTTGTTACTTATGAACAGTCTTGATATTTTTGTTCAGGGGATGGAATCTTTTTAGTCAAAGGCACTACATATGTATGTAAAAAAAAACTAGCGATCTTTTTCTGATGGTTACAAAAAATATTTATTTTCATTTCGTAATCTAATTTATATTTTATCAAGCAAATCGTTTCACTTTATATCTACATATTTTTTACTACAGGTTATGATGGAACTAGTAATGTTCTAGCTGGGAAAATATATGGAATTCCAGTTGTTGGGACACATGCACATTCATTTGTGTCAGCTTTTCAATCTTCTTATGTAAGTGGCAAGTCTATGTCAAAACGGTCATATGTGAAAATAAGTTTTATTTAACCAAACATTGTAGATTATTTTTACCGTATGGATTGTCATACTAATCAGGAGAAAAATGGGATAAGATAGTTGTCTTAATCCTTTTCGACTGCTCATTTCCGATATTTGATCTATAAGATAGGAGAGTTAATTTATGTTGTTTTTTCTTTCTAATAGTGACCAGTGCTTGTAGCACATTCATACATCATTTATTCCTTTTCGAGCTAGGAGCATATATACACTACCGGTATCAAATATAATCTCATTAATCTCTGTAATGCAATCATATTAACTTACTCTGCCTTACTTTTATCTCTTTTTAATTTTACTAGAGAAACGGCTGTTACTTGAAGACAGTAAGTAAGACTATTGTGGTAACAGTTAGAGCGTTTCAAGAGAAAATGTACATCACAATTTCTTTCATCTGTAACAAAGCACTTTGAATGTAAACTTCGGTTACCGATGACGAGCTCATTGATATTATCATCTTTCTGATGGAGTCTTGTTCTATGAGCTGGATGGTTTGATTGTAGAGCTTTAATCGTTCTGAACGACATTATCATCAATAACTTTATAGTTGAATTTCAATGATAGAATATCGAATACACGATTTTATTTCTGCCACAACAAATGGTTAGTATCAGCTAGAAAAAAGTCAATGTTAATCCCTTTACCGAAACTCTAATAATTTTTGTCGTTTCAAACACTTAGTGGTTAATACATTAGTCTTGCATTTTGAGTTATGATAATTATTTACAGTTCAACAGAATTATCTATGTATAATTAGATTATGAATAATAATTATTCTGTATGTTTGTATGTTCTTGAAGTTACGATGTTTCGAAATGTTTCTTTTCGCTCTTAGGAAGGGGAATGTATAAATGATTTCGGAAAATTCAGAAGAGAAGCCGCCGATCTAAATAACTCACATGATGATCACCTTTTAGACTTAAACCGTCAACCAATGAAATTGAATGAATTTTTGAAACGTTGTTGGTATTGGTCTGCTAGTTTATCTCGTGTATTAAAATATCATTCAGATCAAATACATCCAGGTGAATTAAATGCATTCGCCAATTATGCTATTGCATTTCCGACAAAATTTCTTGGTTTACTTGATACATATGATGTGTTAAAGTATGTTTCTTTTTTGTGTTAAATTTTAATTTATTTTTCCTTTTCTTTCTGGATTTAATCTCCCTCTTTGAAAGGTTATTTCAGCATTACTAGGATTTACAATCTGTAGTGATATATGGAATAGATGCTAACAGTGAAACCCATACAACAAATTACGTATATATATGTTTGTTGTATTTCCCGAGGTAGATGGTTCAATTGCGGAGCTTTGATTGTCATTATCTTTAGAGCCTAATTTATACACAAAAGATTTTCAATCATTTTACATGCGTCATATCACTTCGTCCTGCTGACCCTGTATTCGATTGTCTGTTTTCGTAGCTTTTGTCTTCATCTACGATTATATTCATGCTGTATTTATTTATTGTCCCTCGTTTTCTTACGGACTGACTTCTTCCGTATGAGTCCATACATTGGGTTCTAGATGTCCTCTGAGATTCCTAGTTTTCCTGATCCAGATTTTCGACTTCCCCAGTCAAATGCGTGTCCATTGTCATCCGCCTGCATTAATATCCGTGATAGTACATCATATCGTCTCACTGCTAATTTATGTTTATTTATGCTTATGTGCAGAGGGGAACTAGTTTGTTTAATGTAATATTTCTCGTTTGGTGCAATTTATTTTGTAAACGATGTCATTTATCCTCCTTTGCTGTTGTGTCTCTTGGTATACATACAATGGAATGAAGTGATTCCGTTGTCTTGTGAGGGACGTGTATATTCGAGGAGGGGTGCTCAGTAATTCTTTAAAGAACCAAAGAATGCTAGAAATAATTTCATTAACCAAGGTTCTTTAGAAACTTTCAAAAGAATTCTAGGAAAAGACAGTTTATCATTCCGACTACGCGCGTACCGAATTTTTTACTAATTCAAACAAGCGTTTTTAGGCTTTCGGAATTTCAAGGTCACATATGGCTCTTTATTTTCTGTACAGAAGATAAATTGGGAAGTAAAGTTTTCTGTATCCTGTTCCTGTTTTTTGTCCTATCCGCCGTCCAAGAGTAGGAGTTTTCGGGACTAGTAAGCAGTTACGAAGTCACTGTATAAGTTTTCAGGCACAAAATGTGTGGATGTGTATATTATAACTGTTGAATAAGTGATAAATTTGTGACGTTTGAATTGACGAGTTCTGAGTTCAAGTTTCAGTATGGACGTCGACATAATTGAAGGTACATATATCTGACATGTCTAAAGTAAAAAAAATCTACATCCTGGATTCCCCTGTTTTAGATCGTCTAAAATCTAATTAAATTATTCCGATTTCGTTCTAGTCGGTATTGGGTTGTTACTAACATTTTAATACCACCCAAAAAATCAACAAAATAAGTATATATGATAACGCTACCAACTACTGAGATCTATTTTTATAATCTATCATATTTATAAGGCAGTTGTTTGGGAGAACGAAAAAATCGGTACAATATGAAGAATGGATTTTAGTTGTCTCCACTCTTTGAAATGGTAAACCGATTGTAAGTTGGATAGTGTCTATTATTGGAATCTAGGACGCACGTTTTATCCCACATGGGACTCATCAGATAGATGTACCTGCATCTCAGTATTGATGTTTGTACTGAGACTCAAACCTAGTATCTTTCGATTCAATCAGCGAAAACCGTAAGCCCTTACAAGTAACATTTACAGTCTTGGTATAGTCTAGTGACTGTCTGGATTCGGTAGCTCAATGGATAACACCCTGGCGTATGAAGCGGGAGGTAGGCAGAATACTCAAAGACCAGAAGAGAAGATAATTTGGATCACAGAACATACTGCAAGATGATCAAAGAGCATGTACATATATTATATCAACATTATAATTTCTCTCAATAAACATTCTTTCTATTAGGACGGCTTCCGAGTGCTACGACGGAGCCTCCAGAGGCTCTAAAGGAGCCGACGAGTTTCCATCCAGTCAGAACGTGGTGGATCTCTAGAATGTCAACGTGGTATGCTACTATTGGACAGTAGAGTAACCAGAAAAATGCCGTGCTACAAAGACACCACCATATGTTTACAGAAGGATTGGGAGAATGTACGAAAGCCAAAGCATTACTAACCCTCAAACCTGGAGCTACTCCCGTTTTTCGACCTAAGAGGTTTGTGCCTTATGCTGCCCTTTCATTAGTTGGACAGGAATTAAACGGCCTCAGAAAATGGGTGTTATTGAGCCTGTGAACTTCGGTTGGACTTCACCAATATTGGTGGTCAAGAAGTTTAATGGTAGCGTTCGCTTATGTGCAGATTACTCCACCAGACTAAATGAAGCTCTAGAGTTTCGCCAGTACGCTTCACCTTTGCCTGATGGTCTCTTCATCAAGCTGAACGGTGGCAGGTATTTTGCGAAATTGGATTTGTCAGATGCTTATTTACAAATCCCTGTATCTGATGAAAACAAAGATCTTTTAACCATCAACACGCACAAAAACCGATAAAGACCCTAGACTGCTCGTAATAGTTTATGCGTCATTGGTCTGGTCGATAATTCACTGTTCTCTAATTAGCGGTTTCATTACGTCATATATTGATAGGGCTACAAGGCCACAAGTTATAAAACTTTCTGCCCATGTCTTTGTTCTGCAATAGTAGTGACATGTTCAGCGTTTCCATTAATATAATAAGAGGAATGTTTTACTGCCGATTCTCTTGAATCTTGTTTGTTATTTCTTAATGTCTAATCACAGATGTTTTTTCTCGAATAATTACAAATCTATTATGCAGATTTTTTGCTGCACTATCTTCCTTGAACTCAATTTTCAAAAAGAGAGCATTCTTTAGAACTGTAGGTGTTGTTTTTCAGGTCGTAGTTTTAATTTCAAATTTCCTTCAGTAAACTTGGTCGGATAGCTGTTTTTTGATGGGTACTTGTCGGAATTAGAGTAGTTCATCGTTCATTGTATCTTAGAATTATGTTTTTCTAGTTCTCAAAAGTAAAGAAGAACCTAGTTCTTTTTCTGTTTCATTTAACTCAGCTTTGAAAATTCGTATATTGGCAATTTCAAGTTCGTTCTTTATGTATAAATCTTTGTAACGAATCATCTAGCCATCTTTTTAATAGGACATCAAGAAAATGAAGTTCTTAATTCATTTCTGCTTTTGTTGTGAATTTAACTGACTTATGACAGCTTTTGAATATATATAGTTATTATTGGTAGCCTTGGTCATTCTGATTTTCTTTAATCTAAGTTACATTATATCTTACCTCAATGTTAACTTTCAATGCATATATGGTTGTAAGCAGCTGATGGGAAACCATGAAATATAGGGAATCCATATTAGTCCACATCAATATTTGTTCTGGATTTATTCAACCTCATAGCGGAAACCAATTGTGTGAAATTCCTGGAAAAGACAGCTTTTGAATCTATCCATAATAAGATTAAAGTCACTGATGATGAACGTGTCATCCATAATTGAAAGCTCTTGATTGTTAGTTGAAGCATCGTATTCTTCAAATCAACCAACAGAAAGTCCTCTTGAATAGCACTTAGTGGTGAATTTTATTATTTTATCTATAGAACTTATTATTAAATCTAAACTAGAGATTAAAGGTACATCTTAGAAGAATTTTATTTAGATTGTGTTTTGGGACGACAATATCGAGGTTGTTGTTTACAAGACCATGACATATGGTGGGAACACTTATAAAATTAGAACCTATGTCAAATGATATCATTGTCTTTACGGTTGCATTGAAATCAGTAATTGAATCATTAAAATCAAATAGGTCAAGTGTGATATGTCTATCGAGCTAATTTCTAAATGTTTTTAGAATTCCCTCTTGGTATTTAGCAGTCCTATGATAGAGTCAATTATTTACGTATTACTATATGGGCTTCAAAGGGGACATCTTTTTTGTTTGCTTTTGAAGGACTATATAGTCTTAGAAGGAGTGGAAGTAACACGCTTAGATTATTTATGGTAAATTTGTTTATTCCTTTTTTTGCACATCTTGTAGATCAGGTTTACCAAATTTTTGTGCAGTTGCATTAGCTCTTCATGAATTTGGTTATCAAGCTATTGGTATACGTATTGATAGCGGTGATATAGCCTACTTATCATTGAAAATTCGTAATACGTTTCAGCTAATCAGTTCACAGTAAGTAGACTAAATTAAATTAATTGATACTTTTCTGTATTTTATAAAAATATCGTTTATATTTTGTTAGTTTTTTTGGAACTATGCTTTAGTAGTTCAAGCATCCATATTTTTTCTTTATGTTCATCAAAGTTTATTATTATTATTATTATTATTATTATTATTATTATTATTACCATAGGAGTACTTCCAGCGCCCACCTCGATGCGTGATATTCGCTGATGTAGGAATAAGTTAAAAATATTTAGGGACCTCCAAACCAAAACATAGCATCAGTCTATTAAGCTATTGAGCCATGTTAATAGGTGAAGACTACTTACTTGGGGTCTGCGTAATTATTACAATTAGTGGTTGAAGAAATTAGGTGACATGAAGGCTTGGGATCGGTTATGATAAAATAGATACACTCTTTTTTTTACCTTGGATCTTAGGTTTTAAAACTACTTTATATTTCCTGTAATTTCATGTAATCATTCTTTCTTCTTGAATCATATTGTCTATACTTCTTTTTTCCTGTTGCCGCCTATTCTTTTACCAATTCCCCTACTCTGGTGTTCGTCTTGTTAATTTCAACTCGTTATGCTAATGTGGCGTGGCAGCTTGAACCAATGCTTATATGTACAAGGCTCTACGTTGTTTAAAACTAACAAGGGACTATTGGTCATTTTATTGTTGTGATTTCTCTTTTCAGATTGTGATAAAAGTATCTTTTAGGGATGAGCTTGAAACAATCGCGACGAGTTTTCAGCCAGTTCTTAGACAATCAGAAAACAGCTTTTATAAATGGATATTCTATGGAAAGGATAATAATATTGTATAGCGTGAACTGATTTTACATATTAATCAGTCAAAAAAACGACATATAAACTAACCTTTATGAGTACACACTGCCCGTCTCCTGGAACCTTTAAATAAAACCCAAATAGATTTCTAAGAGTCCCCATATTTTTCATAGTCAGGGCTAAACTTAGGGGTTTAGGATTGAAGTTTTAGACACGAACTGAAATCCACCACCATGTAGAAATGCTCTGTAGCCATATGGATGTATGAATCTCGCTCAAAAATACAAGAGGCGGTATCTAAATAGTGTGACTATAAAATATAATTCCACCAGGCTGTTTGTTTCAAGATTAAGGGCTCAGGATTAGTGTCGTAACTTATGCCCTGTGTCCTATTTATGCATAATATATTGATACCGCCAATTAGAGAACAGTAACCGAACCAATGACGCATAAAACCCGTACGAGTATTCTAGAGTCCTTATCGGTTCTACTTCACGCCTAGCCCTGCCTGTTAAGTCCAAAACACCCATCTCAGCCTCTGCGATATGAATCATTTATTTCAAACATACTGGGTTTATATACCAACCAAACAGAACACATCGTACCACAAAATAGGAAACAACATTTTTAAAAGATTTAGCCAAAAGTGGCTGCGAATGTGGAAGACTGTAATTCATAAACTAGGAATAACTTAAGATTGGTAAATCGTGTTATAATAGTTCATATGTCAAAATAACGCTCATAATAAGAAGGAAACGAATATTATACGATAAAAATATGCGTATAATAGTCCAAAAATAGATCCCAACAATTACCATTCATTATTCTCATCGGGATATAACAATTAGAATTTAGGGACAGTGTCAATTTCCTGTTATATGCAGTCTAAAGAGACAGAATTAGGTATTAAATACGTTCAACACTTATTTTTACGCTATGGTTTCAAAAAGTGATTTTTTTAACAGTCATTTTAAACGTTTCGATTAAAAGTACTTCTACTGCTCTTTATACATGATGTTTTATTTTCTCACAAGAACCTAAAAGTTCCATTCTCGATCCTGATTGATTAATCTATGAAGCACACTTGTACTTCATATCGTTATTTATTATCATAATTTAAAACATACACTACTACTTAATTAATTCAAGTTGGGAATATAGTATAAGTTGGTTTACTCAACTTTCAAGGACACATTATTATTAATGGCTTTATTCAATATTATATTTTGGTACAATATAGAATTCTCAGCCCAAGGTTTTTCAACAAGTTTCCTTTACAAAAAAATAAAGGAACAACGGTTAAAATTTGAAGAACTGTACAACTTTCCAAATTAGAGACATGTCAAGAATGCAGGTTATTGACTAGGTTAACTAACAACCTGTTCGTCACAGAGTATATTTGCTAGGTAAGGTATTATAGAACTTTTATACTTTTCCTTGCGTGCATGGATTTTAATGTAATTACGTCTCGTTCTACCAGGACATATACAAGGAGAAAGATAAGAGTGAAGGGGATGGTTAGTATGTGATAAAATAACACCTGCCAGGAGTTTGCATGACTTTAGATGTCTATCCACAACCATATTAATTATGACCTCGAAAGATTCACCACACACCTTGCTAACTGCCTTCAGCACTCTCCGCAATACAAAGTCTTTTCTCAAAATCCCAGGAAAAGATAATGGAGAACGGTAAAGAATAATAGGTAATATGCAAGAATTGACCAAATGTAAGAGTAAATGACAAGTAATTCCAAGAGCATGCAATCTCTTTATGTAGTAAGCCAGACGGAAAACCTTCTTTGATAACAATAAAACGTGAGAAGACCAATAGAGATCAGAGGAAAAGGTAACACCAAGATAATTGACCTTCGATACTGTGTTTACCAAAGAGTCTCCAATGGCACAAGCATTATGGGATCTCAAAATGGTGTTTAGATGCCGTTCATGTCTCATGCTAAAGTTAACAGCTTGACATTTAGACGGATTAAGTATGAGATCATTACCAACAGACCAACAATCAATACGAGACAAAAACTCATTCATTTCTATGGGGTGTAAAGAGGAAGAGATAGGCATACATACAGTGAGTTCATCCGCATATTTCACAAAAGTGTTTTCTGTGGAAGATGGCAGATCATGCAGAAAAAAAGAGAAAAGAAGAGGTGAGAAAACAGCTCCTTGTGGTACACCTTCATGAGACAGTAGAGACTCTGAACACTTTCCTCCAAGTACAATGTACTGTTCCCTTCCAGAGAGGTAGGAACATAGCCAGTTGGCTATCCAGCTGTCAGTGTTGACGCTGATTAACTTATTAATTAAACGTTGTCTTGATATAGAATCGAAAGCTGAAGTATAGTCCAGAAAAGCGCATCGAACATACTTCTTACCCTTTTCTAAGTTGAACACTATATTGTGATGCAGAACAGCAACAGCATGTAAGGTGCTTCTTTTGCACCTGTAAGCAAACTGATACGGATCAATATGCTCTTTTATCGCAGGCTGAAGTGGAAGTATTAATAATTTTTCCATTGTTTTGAGGAAGGGTGAAGTTATTGCAACAGGTCTAAATTTCATATTCTTATCACCAGATACTTTCTTGGGTACAGGAATTATCTTCATCTTTCTCCACATTTTCGGTATGAGATCAAATGAGAAGGATCTGTTAAAGATAGTCGTGAATGGATCAAATAGGACGTCAGCACGCTTTGTAAAAAGGAGGTTTGGGATACCATCAGGTCCTAAACATCGGGATGAATTAAGTGACTGGAGACATGTTCGGACATCAGTTTCAGTGAAACTAGGAACACAACTATTCTTTAAACCTGTGGATGAAGGGAGCACATTTTGTGTAAGAGTTCGTGTTACTACTTGGTCACCTAAATTAACCGAGTTCATGCTCATAACTGTATTGGTCAGTATGAAGGGACATCAGTAACGGATACTGCTGTAATCAATTGAATAAGTTCAAAAGGTAGTTTTGTTATTTAATATTTTCTAATTTCATTTCTTGTAGCTATAATTTACCTTGGTTTGCACAACTTCAAATACTTGCCAGCAATGATTTAAACGAAGATACATTACATTCTTTTAATCAACAAGTATGTGAATTTATTAAGAAAAAAAGGATAAATAAAAGTTTATTATATGTAATTCTTCTGAAAGTGCTGTTGTTTTTTCTTTTTGAATTTCTTAATGGTTGTTAGTTTACGCCTTTTAAAGCATACTTCGTTAAGTGGTTGAAGGTAATCAAAAGGAAGCCCCGCTCGATCTATGTTTCGCGGTAGTTCTAATGATCTAATTGAAAGAATTCGTTCAGCTCTTTAGAATACGCAGATAACATAATCGTGTTTGGTGGACACGCTGATAAAATTCACTCTTTTGGTAGCACTGAATAATAATGCCAGAATGTTTCGGATGCGTTTCTCTCCCTCTAAATGCGGATTATTGCGTCGACAGCTGGATTAATAGTAGAGAGTGAAGTAGTCGAACGCGTCGACAACTTCACTTTATATTGGAAGTCTGATCAGCCCAAATTGTTTGGTGTCTGATGAAATCTCAGCACTGATTCAGAAAGCTCGTTTGGCTTTTGCCAACTTACGCGACCTATGAAGAAGGCGACTAATTATTTATTATTATTAATTAAGGGACGAGTATACTTCGCGGCAGTTCGTTCTGTTCTTTACGGCTTCGAAAAGTGGCCTTTAAGAGTAGAAGATACTCGTAAGCTATTAGTATTTGACTAAAGATGCCTTAACAATATTGCTTGCATCTGCTGGGATCACTGGGTAAGTAATAGTGAAGTTAGACACAGGGTATTAGGGTGTGATGGTAGATCAGTTGATAAGGTTGTGAATCTTTATCGACTGAGGTGGTTGGGCCCTGTGTTACATATTTCTGAACACCGATTGCCACGACGCGCAATGATGACTAGTGTTGGAAGAAAGTTAGTGGTGGCCAAACCGAAATAGGGCATCAGTTCATAAAGTCACTAGTTTCTGGTTTGTTCCATGTTGGTAGATGCAGACTACTGAGTTGGGGTACACACGACTTTCGTAACCAATGGTTGAAAACTGTGGGTGACATGGCTCAGAATTGATCACAATGGCGTCGGTGTATAAACTCTCTGTCTTACCTTAAGCCATGAGATTAAAATTACTGTATACTTTTCTTTCTACACACTAATTCTTTTTCCCTGTATCATATCCTCATATGAAATCTCTCTTTTATATATTACTACCATTGAAGTAACTACTTCTGTGAATTTGGTGTTCATCTTGTTGTACTAATGAGGTGTGTTAACCTGGATCGATGCATATATATGACTGGTCCTACGTTGTAGATGACTGACTGACTTTATGAATACTTAGAACTAAAGGTGAGATATTGTTCATCGAAATACTTGTGAATATACCCAAAAGATTGATTAATAAGAGCTACTTTGAGCTATTGTTACAATGGTTAATAATGTGAAATAATCTTTCATCACTATGTTATATCAATTTGAACACTGTTTTCGATCGTAGTAGGTTGGTATGTGTATTTTTATCTATCTAAATCTTAACTGATTTTTGCACACTTATTAACTTATAATTTATATGTGTAACATACAAATACTATACTACTAAATGTGCACTAACCACTGAAAAATTTATCCATATTGCATTTTTCTAAATAATCCTTCAGTCTTTTAAACTTTATATTAGTAGTACATAAAATTTTAACTTGGCAAAGTTTATAAAATATCAACTTACTATGGAATCTTGTAATCATTTTCTGATGTCATAGAACAAGCTAAGGTTGAAATATGTTTTCATTGTTTTCTTCTCTTTGTATCTTCGATCTCTACCTTTTTAATATTGATTGCTTTTGAGATTAAATTACAAAGAAATGCTTCCATTTTCTGTTATCTATTCATTCTAGTTCATATTTCATCGTTAAACAAACACTGCATTTTGCATAAATAAATTCCATACCTTTTTTGTATACTGATTTGTGTACATTGAGTTTTTATTACTATGTAGAGTTTTCTGGAGGTAGTTTGATACTTTTGGCTTGTATCTTTTATATCCATCATGCTTTTTTTGGGTATTATTCAAATCATCAAACGTTTAAGCATTCACCGTCATTTATATTACGGACTGACTTAAGTTAGATATCCACTGAAAACCAGGGAAGACTGGAAAACTATTTCATCGTAGTACGAAGTTCCTTAGCGGTGCTCACCCACGACCTCGCCACAGGTAATCGAACCCAGGACCTTCAATTCTTGTGGTGAACGCTTAAACTCGAGACCACTGAACCAGTATTCAATAGTGTGTATGTATGGTAAATCAGTTGATGAGGTTGTGAATCTTCATCGACTAAGATGGCTGGGCCTCGTGTTGCGTATGCCCGAACACCGATTACCACGACGTGCAATGCTAACCGGTGTTCGGAATGGTTGGAAGAAAGTTAGGGGCAGCCAAACCAAAACGTGACATCAGTGCTTGAAGTCACTAACTTCTAGTCTGAGCCATGTTGGTAGATGCAGACTACTTGGTTGGGGTCCACGTGACTATCCTAACCAATGGTTGGAGACTCTTGGTGACATGGCTCAGCATAGATCACAATGGCATCTTTGTATACACTCTCCGTCTTCCCTTAAACTGAGAAATTAAAGTCGCTTCATATCTTTCTTTCTACGAACTAATTCTCTCTTCCTGTACTATATCCTTATATGCAGTCTTTCTTTTATATATTGCCACCTCTGAATTAACTACTTTTATGAATCCGGTGTCCATCTTGTTGTGTTAATGAGGTATGGCAACTTGAACTGATGCATATATGTGCCTGATCCTACGTTGTAGCTGACTGACTGACTGGGTGTGTATGCTTGACGTCAATCGATCCACGAAGTCGCCTTATCATCTCCAATTATCTGCGGTAAGTAGCTGCCTAGTTTTTTGCCCTATTGATTCAATGCATTTTGAGATATCGTATTTTCTATCCTCAGGATCACTCAATTGATGCATTTTGTGTTGGGACAAATCTAGTCACCTGTCAAAAACAACCAGCCTTAGGATGTGTATATAAACTTGTTGAAATTAATGGAACTCCAACAATGAAACTTAGTGCTGATTTTGAAAAACTTACTTTGCCAGGAAAAAAAGTAGTTTATCGTTTATATAGTCAGCAAGGTGAGTTACGTTTTTTGACTTAAACGCCTTCTATTCATGACGTTTTCGCTCTCAGTTTTATTGTACTTATTATCGTTATAAGTAGTAAAGCGTACCTTGATATATTCTTTATTAATAACACGTGTTCAGAATTATTTATGAAAGTAATGATGAACAGTTAGGTACGAAATTAAAAGGATAAGGGAAATTAGGTAATAATATCCAAAAATAGTATTTATTGATGAAATTAAAATGGGTTCTTATGAAATCTGAACTATCTTGTTCAGAGGTCAAATCTTCATAAATAATAAAAAAAGACATATTAACGAAATTATATTACAGTTAGAAGACTGCAAGTGCGGGAATGCACTGTCGTCTAGATAGTGCTATGGTCTTTTGAATTAACATCCAACTGAAGTTATTGGTTAGGGTACCTTCGAAAGTGATCATATAAAAATGTTTCCTTTTGTATCTTAGAACGGTGAAATGTGTGTCTAATTTTTGAGTGATACTATCTTGTTTATTCTTTGTTCTAATTTTCCGTTCAATCTTCTCACTAACTAGATATCCAGAATTAAGATACTGACGACTAAATGCTAATGAATTTTTCAAATTTATCATTAATTTCTTCTACTTCTCTACTCTTTAACAGTGCGCAAATACGACGCTACATTAAATATAACTTATTGATGCAAAGTTTCACAGTGGTCAATATATCATTAAGCCATTTATTTAGCGTAATGCATTTTAGACTCCAAACTACCTTAACATCGGTGTTCACTGTTTAGAGGTCTCAATCAATACAGAATGTTTACCCACTTTTTCCTTACTTTTTTATTACTCGGAAATTTTCATGAGTTCAATTTTCTGTGTTTTAATGTAGGTGAAGCATTACTGGATTTAATGAGACGCTCACATGAAGATTCTCCAAACGTTAATGAACGTATTCTTTGTAGACACCCAACTCAAGCATCGAAACGTGTTTTTGTTGTACCCGGAAGAGTTGAACCATTACTCAAGTTATATTGGAATTATGGAAAAGTAATTTGAAATCATTTATTTATCTTTAGTTAATTATTACCACAACTGTTTTTGGTAAGAGTATAATATACTGACGACCATGGAGTATTTATCAGCCAATCAGGAAATGGTGCCTTGTTATAAAACAATTAACAATACAAAGTAATGGAATAACAGTGTTATAATAGCTTTGGTCGTAATAATCAACATTCACAACTCAAATTATCCCTTATGGTAAAGAAAAAGGGTAAGTTTACATATATACATACATATTAGGAGTCAGTCTAGTGTTGTGAGCCAGTTTTATCACTCCGTAGAGTTTTCATCACCAACTCACATTGACTGTAGTGCAAAAAGATTAAGGTTAAGTATCAAGAATTAAACTAGAGTTATGAGTTAGATTTACAAATCAAGATCAGAGTTTCAACACAAATTGACATCAGCTATAATTCAATGCCATGCTAACTTCCTGTTTACAAAATTGAGAAACTGAAGTTTGGGATGTAAAGTGAGAATAATAAAGAGGACATTATCTAGCTTCACTAAACACGCGACCAACGATATCAAGTACTTTAAAACACACTCTGCTGTAGAAGCAGGTATGCTGTTGAATTTAGATTATGCACCATCTAAAATTTATTTTTTTGTTGCACAACAGATATTTTCATCGATTTCAAACATCTTAAGAACTAAATATTACTATATTCCACTTGGAATGACTTACATGTTATATATCGCTGATCTCTGTACTTCGCTCAAAATACGAGTTATCTTAATTATGATTTGTCAACCCAAAGTCGTCAGTATATTCTATTTTTTGTCATGATTTTAATCTGTGTATTTTAGCTAGTGTAGTGGCTAGTACTACTTCAAGCCAACATAGATTATTCTAGCTGCTGAACAGACTAATTTATTCATTTTTCTCAAACCACATTTTGATCTTGTCATTTATTCGTCTATTAATTCTAACCGTTCTTTATATGACTGTATGTGTGTTAATTGCTTACCCTATTCATCACGTGTCTGTAACTTATTTTTGTTTGAATATATTGAGTCTCGCCTAATCAAAACGAGTTGGCTCACTCGCCTTCTCCACTGCTCTTCACTTCGTTTCTCTGATTGTCTGTTCGGATCAATAAGTGTATGAAATATACGTATTCAAAATTCATTCTCGCATTTGACTTATCTAATTCCGTTATTCACTGACGCGATTTAAGCCGATAAAAATATACGAGAGTTGGCGGCATGTATAGTTCGATATCAATCAGCATACGATCTAAATGGAGTCAGATATCGGGCCACTAAAGTGTATTGCCACGAATAAGCAGTACTTTAAAGAGAGGTAAGATTATTGTATTCTAAATTATGTAAATTAAAATTTTCACTTCAGTTTATGTATTTATTATATGAACTGCGTCAGATTACATAAACTAGACGAAGTATTATTGAGTAATTGTTTGCAACGCTAATACATGTACTATAATAATATCATTTAAATTGTCGTAATTTCATCGTACCTACTCATTCTCTCTCTCTTTGCTTCCTATTTACCAATTACAGTTAGTTAAACCATTGCCGACATTGAATGAATCTAGAGAATACGCTATGAATGAATTAAACACTCTAAGACCAGATTATAAACGTATAACTAAACCGACGCAATATAAAGTTTCAGTTTCGGATGAATTATATCAATTCACTCAAGAATTATGGCTTAGTATTACACCAATTGGTGAAATTAGTTAGTAATTTTATTCAACTTTTTATTACTACTATTATAAATAGTTCATTTTTCTTTATATCCACCTTTCACATATCAACCTAATTTATAACAAATGTACTATTTTTTGCCTGCCATCATTTGTTTATTACTTATTTCCTTATTATTAGTAGTATTTTGTTTAAGTCTTGCTTTACTATACAAATAGATTGCTTTCAATACTTTTTTGTGATAAATTTGAGAGATACATTCAAAACAACATATCTATGTATTTTTGACTACATTTTCTCATACCAAATATTTTTTATGTATAGATTATGAATACCAATAAAAAATTTCGTCTTGTTCGCAAAGAATATCCACTTTAGTTGCCATTTTGTTGTTGTTAAATTCTTTGTGGTAATAGACAACATAAACTATGCTATGAAATAATGGAGAATATTTTTCGACTCAGGTGGATACTTTTGGTAGTGTTGAATTCTTCTAACTAGATGTTTTATAATTTCGGAGTTCTCATTTTCTTTCTGGACAACACATTATCAGTGCTTACTACAAAAGATTACTCGGAAAGACAATGAATGCTTTACAACCAAATCATTGAGCTCGGAGACCACAACAAAACTATTCTATGGAAGAATGTTCTCCTTAAATATCGGGTTTACGTTTTATATACACATAATATTAGTCAAAGTACCTGTACTTGGTTAGTGAGTAACTTTGTCAACAAACCCCTATGAAGCATTGTATTCTTATCTTCTGAAATTGGTTACTGAGAATAAAAATTATCTCCTAAGTGTTTCTATTTATTTTAGTTCCGACTATAATATTCATATCTTATCTAAAATGATTATGATTTTTTTTAAATTTTTCTGTCCATTTTTAAATCCTTATTGTTTTTATTTTCAAGTTTACTGAGTTTTCACATATATCACTGCTGTTGAGATCTTTATTTATTTATTTGGACACATAAATATTGGTACAAAGGGGCACCAGATACATATGCGTCACACAAATAACGATGGGAATGTGAAGACATATAGAATGTAAGGTGAGTATAGGGAAAAGGGGAACAATAACGAACGAAAATTTGTGCATTATAGTGAAATAGTAATAATGGAAGAAACAGTTCAGTTAGCAAAGGCACAACCAGAAAGAATTGTCTCAGTCACATAAGTTACGTTCACTTTTATGAAGAACGCAAAATAAAGTTACAACAGGTTTGCCACTGGCTTCTATTCTGAGCAAGATCTGGTAACGTCTCTATCCAGTGCTGCACCATCTCTAAGACCACAGCCAGGGAGTCCTGAAGTAGCAACAGAAGCCAGTCTTGTACAGCTTCCTTTCATATCACGACACCATGTCATACACTGACCACCTCTCCGCTTTTTCCAACCAGGCCCAAAGTCGGCAAATAATGCACGACGTGGAATTCTCTCGGCGACATTCGTAGAACATGTCCAAGGCACCGCAGTCGGTGTTTCAAGATGCTGACACCAATTGATTGCATGGTTTTAGTATCATCGCATAGTAAAGTAATATCATCTGCATACTCAAGGTCAGAGTTTTTCTCTATGCAACAGATCCATACCACCGTTGCCTACTTTCATCAGAGCAAAGTCGGGGAGGAATAGTTAGATTGAGCAACCCTGCTTACCCCACTGCTTGGATGGGACAATAAAGAGAGATGGCTGTATGATTTCACTCTGCCTGAAATGTTTGTATATAAGGTTCTCAGGATGTTAATCAATTTCTCAGACACACACTTCAATAAACAATCGCAGAGAACAGTCCTGTCCCACGAATCGAAGCCAGCCATAATGTCAAGAAACATTAGGGCTGTTGGTCTGTGGTAAGTATAACCGTGTTCTGCCATTTGGCGGAGGGTGATATGGTCAATATATCTTTGACCAGAACGAAAACCAGCCTGCTGCTTGCGAGTCAACCCCTCCAGGGTATCGAGCAATCTACTAGGTATGACGAAATCAAATAGTTTGGACGCAACCGAAAGTAGACTTATCACTCAACAGTGACAACTTTAGATTCATTCCAGGGTGTTGGGATACTCTAATTGCCAGGCCTGTGTAACCAAATCAGTCAGTTCCTTAACCAAAAGGTCATCACCATCTTTAAAAAGATCCGGAAGTAAGTCATCTGGACCTGGTGATTTGTAGCGCTTCAGGATTTGGAGTTCCTTGCGGACCTCTGTTTCGTTAGGTGGATCAGTCGTCACAGGCCATGAAGAGTAGTACAGGCTGGTCTATGTTTTCAGGACAGCAGACTAGTCGAATTATTCCTCGAAAAACTCAGTCCATTGTCCAAGACTTCCGGCAGTTACTGGAGGCAGCTGCTGTTTCCGGTTCACTAGCACGTCCGACCACCAGACTTCTCGGTCCTTACGCAAGCTTTCCACAATTTCACTACGTAAAAATCTTCGTTTATCGTCAAATGCACGGTTACTTGGAGTAGACCGACGTGCTTCGATCACTTGTAAGGAGCCTGTAGAAAGCCGTGTGAGAGAATTTCGAAGGAGGAGATCTGACTCTCCTCATACTCGACCGTACCCGGGAATTTCGGGGAAATTTGTAAATTTATCAGTCACTTGTTGAAATGTAGAGGACGTCAGTTATGACAATGAAAGTAAAAGTAACCAGGCAGACGTACAGTTCCTATCAATAATAGAAGAACCTGTCCAAACTGGTACAATGCACAATAGCACATAAAATGGAGAAAAGTTTTAAAGTCAACATATGTGGTAAAGGGAAGTCATAATTGATAGAGTCAATTAGGACAAAATTGAAATGGTTTCTTACTGAAGATAACGAGACCCAAGTTTAAAATTGTAGATCATCGGATTTAGGCTCGTTGATCTAAAGGTATTTCGGTCACTGATCCAATGGAGCTAATGTTTAACTCCAACCAGTCCATTATATTGAGCGACTGCCGTCGGATACCGGCTCAATTTTTCCGAGTTTAAGCCTTCGCCCAAGACCGAAGGTCCTGGGTTTGAGTCTTATTTGTGGGATCGTTGGTTCGCGATGTTAAATAGTCCCATACTAGGATGAGACGACCACCCGGTGCTTCCAGGTTTTCACTGGTGGCCTAATATTCATCGGTTTGTGATCTCAATAGTATTTACTGTCAAAAAGTTACTAAAACAATCATAGTAGTTAACAATGTTAATACAGCTACATAGTTCAAATTTAGAGGACATTGGACATTAGTTTTTTCGTAGTTTGACATTCATTATTAATACGCAGATAGTATGGAACAGCTACCCAGTACCTCTCAGTTTTCAACAGTTCCTTAGCTGAGGTCTTTTCATACTATAGCTTAGTTGAGTAGATTTCATGGAGGCTGGTTCAGTTTGTAGGTTCTACTTGTTGAAGATTGATCTTGGAGTACCATGAAATACTGGACAGCAAGTTCGTTCTAGTATGTGACTCCTAATCTGTGTACACTTGCCCCGCTAAATATCCAATCCACAACCTCCAGTAGACTCCATGTGCGCTTAAAATTTAAAACCACTTGGTTGGCGTTCATTGGTGCAATTTCAACTTCAGTAACTTTTCAGTAGAGCATAATTGTCACCCTATGACTAATATAATCTATAAGTTAAATCCACCATCATAAAACACTTTCAGTTAAACTAGAGTATTTGGCTGATCATTGGTTTACTTTAAAATGTTCCTGATATGCTACTGAAAAGTGTTGACTGATACAGTTCATACATATTTGAAATAAAACACTTGTCACTAATGCCATTGGATAAACGTCGTGCTATATCTCTGTTTAGAAAAATATATTGTAATATTGAGTAAACAGTAGAAGTTGCTAAAATAACGTTTTCGAATGTTATCGAGATCACGAACGAATTTAAGATAACCATTGAAAATCTGAACAGTTGCTTCATCGTAGAATGTAACTCATCACAGTTCAATCACGACCTCACCGAAGACCAAACTCAGGACCTTCCGGTGTGGAAGGGAAAACTTAACTACTAGACAGCTGAGCTAACATTCAATGTTTTGTAATCTTAATTCAATTAATTCGTGACATTGCACAACAGTCTCCTCTTGTCGTCAATTGGTACCTCCTTCACACCCTACACTACTGGATTAGACTAGTCACAGCTACTCATTAGGACCCTGTATATTCCCTCTCGAAGTGACCATTTGATATTTTTATAACTTGGATTGGCTCATAATCTCAGTGTTACCCAACAATCTAATTACACCACCATAGTGAACATTTTAAAATATGTTATTCCAGCACTTTATCACATCCTTTTATAGAAAGCATATGAAACTATTGAGTAATAAGTTAATATAAACTCCAAATTGTCGATTCACTTAGTGTAAATTGTTTATTTTACTGCATTATAATAAAAAAGTGAACCACTTCAAATCCATTAAAATTTAATTCGAATATTTTGTTTTAATTTCAGATTTTAAAATGAACATTTTGTTTATAAAATTTACCAATTCCTTTTAGTAGCCATTTTTATTCATTTTAATTAGCTATAAATAATTAAAGATTCATAAGGTACTACTGAAATAAATCAAAGTAGTAATTATAAATTTTAAAATATAAGTTTGATTATATTTGACCACACAATAAAATAAACAAACAAATAAATAAATAAACTTACAAAAAATTTAGCAAAAAAAAACTTTTCATTTTGAACATCACATTATTTCTTAGCTTTATATTCTATTAAAATTAAAGAATGAGTAATATATACATAAACAAAAAAATGGTAATTAGTTTATAATTTGTTACTGTTGTTCAAATTAGTAGTAGTGTGGTGTGTGCTACTTATATTGACATAAGTAGTATATGACGTTAGTCAGGAACAGAATCTCTGGTAGCAGAGAGACAAGAGGATCGAACAGTAAAGAATGGAAACAGAATACAATTTGTATGAAAATGGAAGAACAATGAAGTCTGAGTCATTTTGAGACAACTGATGGACAATTTGCAAATTAAGCATTTACTAAATGATTGTTAGATTTTATTAGCAAGTCCTGTAATTTTGTGTTAAATACATTCGATTGTCCCCCACTCGTGTTCTGTTCGCTACAGTAGTAGTAGTAGTTATTGTTGTTACATTAAGAATAGTAGTATGTTACATACTTTGAAAATAAATAAACAGATGTAATATAATTTTTTTTTAAATAAACTGTTTCCAAACTTAGTTTATTTAAACAAAAACTTTGTCACTTTTAAAAAGAATGACCAAATTATAGATTGTTTTACTTGCCTGAAAATAAAAATGGTTTATTAGTTTGCGGATGTTGAATAGGTGCCTTTTTTGATGTTAGTAATCTTCTTTTAAAATGATGTATGCAACAGTTGAAATTTATATGCATATACAGATGTGTGCACACAAAATTATTTCCAAATTGTAGGTGATATGTATGCATCATAAATTGAATTTTACAAAGGGCTTTGGATAGCTGTTTTGTTCTGATCATGACTTATATATATATATGATTGGACCGTCAGTAGTTCGAAATTATCGTCTAAGTCACAACACTTGGTATTCCTGATTGAAAAAGGTCACGAACTAAAAATCGTGACTGTTTAGTTCTCAATATCAACATTGGAAATCTACAAACCATTATTTATGAATTTATACCCGTTAAAGAAGTTAGTAAACATTTAGACTCAGTACCTCAGCCAATAATGCTTTGGTGTTTGATACGAAAGTTATTGAGTTTGGAGGTTTAATGTAAAAATTAACACTGGAGTCTGATTTATCAAACTGAAGAATTCTAAACAGGACGAAACGTTCGTACTTGACTGGACTGTTGGCTAAAATCCATCTATTTTATAAATGTTTTACAGTTTCATAAAGTATCTAAATGACCGATTCTTAAAAAATTAATAACTTAAGATATCATAGCGAAATAACTGACAAACATCAGTCAACATATA